TCATGAATACAGTCACTTGTTTTGTTCCTGAACGAATCAGTGTTTGAACAAATCAACAGAATGAATGATTCAATGACTCACTCATAAAAAGCAGAAAGAGTCACTGAAAAGTCACCACCACTAAGTTCCAGTGCTTTTGGGATGTTATATCAGCTATATGAACAATCATCTGAGGATTCAAAGAACAGAACTAACTGTTGTATAAAACGTAACAATTTAAAACAGGAAATTCAGAAAATATCCTACTTTCTGGAAGAAAGTGCCAAGTAGACTGTAAAAACGTAAGTGCACTTTACAGACTCTTCACATTCAGTGAAATTCATCAAGTTAGACTGTAATGTTTTAATCTTAAATCTACAGACAATCTTTACTATATGGTTATATTTCACCCCCTCCTCGGTGTTTCATCACAGTGACTCGGAAGCCTCTTTTTGAATTGAATAAATGGCAGCTTTAATGAACAACATTTGCAAAGCTCCTGGCGCCTGAGCTTATCAGTTATTAGCCTTGAGGAATGGAAGTCCTTCTGAATTGAGGTTCATGCTAATTTCCTCTGGTGGTGGTTCTTTTCTCTGCAGCAAAATGAGGTTCAGGCAGCAGGCTAAGTGAAAGGACCAGGGTCTTGCCACAGATGGCTGTCAAAGTCTCATTCTGCATTTGATTGAAACCTCTGCCAGTTCAGCCTTAGATGTAGCATTTTTTTGCCTTCTCCACATTGATTAGACTAAGCTTACCTGAAGAAATGTGTAAACTGAGTGCAAATGTTCACTGCAGATGCATAACCCATGTTAGGTTGCTTAATATACTCTAATCAGATCATGCAGTATGAGAAAATGCAACAATATCCAAGAAGCTTGTTAAACAAGAACATATAAATCTGGCAAGGTTATATTTATTGACCAAATATAGTCAACACTAACAAATACCTTGGATCTATACTGACAACCAAAGCCACAATGAAACAGTGGCTCCTGCTGGAATGGTAGAATTATCCTTTGTTTGTTCAATTTCAACTTAAGTTAATTAAGAGGTAAAGTTGGCACTTTGATTGCATTTCCCTGGAAATTTCAATATTGCTACTGGTCAACAACAGCATGAACAATGGTGTTCCTACTGTAATTACAAAGGCATTTGATTGGATCTATACTGACAACCAAAGCCACAATGAAACAGTGGCTCCTGCTGGAATGGTAGAATTATCCTTTGTTTGTTCAATTTCAACTTAAGTTAATTAAGAGGTAAAGTTGGCACTTTGATTGCATTTCCCTGGAAATTTCAATATTGCTACTGGTCAACAACAGCATGAACAATGAGTGTGGTGTTCCTACTGTAATTACAAAGGCATTTGATTCATGTAAGAGGAAGGAAGAAACGAGGGCTACATAGAAAACAGACAACACATGGAAAGAGAGAGAGAGAAAGAGAGTATAGCATTAGAGCACTGGGCCTGCATAATGAGCCGCCTCCTCACCTTTTATCGGAGATTCTCTCTACTGTCTCCAAGCCCCTGCATGAATTATTTTATAGAGAATAATACTGCACTGCTATAGAGGCCCCAAAAGCTCTATAGATGATTTCTCATAAACTTGACACATACCTGCATATTTTTGGAGACTGTGCAACCGAGAATAACCCATGGTTAGGTTTCAGTTGACAAGGCACATTCATCAATAATTTTCTCTGTTGACAAAAGAGTGGGTCTGTGGGCCTACATTGTAAAATACATCTGCAATTCTCAGAAAAGTCTGCATGTGACGTTTACTAAACACCAATAAGGTTATTTTAGTTACTGTTGTTACAAGACGTAAGTTAACTGTAAAATATAATAAGCCTAGTCTACTAATATGTATATTGTTTTTATATTTTTATTGTATATTATTTTTAATCTAATAAAAAAGTAATTAAAACTAAGGACTTGCATTTATTTTTAAGAAAATGCAATAAATTAAGGATGTAACGATGCACTGCGAGCCGGTTGCAAATCGATACAAATATGTGATGATACAAAGATGTTAAACGAATTGCGATACAGTTGGGAGAAGGAGTTTATATGAATGTTTCTCTGAGGGGAACTGACTGTCTTTAGAAAAGTTTAGATGATATTTTATTTTCATCTTGACTCTGTGTAATGCATATTAAAGCAGTGTTCATAAGCACAGCGCTGCTTTGTAACCAAGGAAACGCTGTATTGCTGCTGTTCCATAAGCGCCACCTGCTGTCAGAGAGTGAAATTGCGTTCTCATTCAGTCTGTCAGCTGTTTTTGTCTCGTTCAGATGTTTTATGTAGCATAATTTCACAAAGTTAAAGTCAGACCATTACGTTTTTGCTTCAAATTTCAAAATTATACAATCTAATTTAGATTAAAAACTGCTAATGCGGCATGTATGCAGCATCTTTGTTTGGATCATGATTAAAATACAGTGGTTGCCTCTAACTGAATGGAAAGAGCACAGGCAAAGCCTTAGTTTGTTTATATGAAGAGATTTTATTTGTGTTATTTATTTATTTGATTTGGGGTTTGTTTTAAAATTTCAATTTAGTTTTGTTGTTTGACATATTTCAATTTCACAAAGAAATGTTCAGCATTTTGTC